GAAGGGGGTGACGAGGATAGCCGCTCGGAAAAGGCAGAGCCAGTTGAGGAGGTGGAGGATGTAGCGCGCCGCTGAGCGGAGGAGGAGGAGGAGGAGGAAGCCCAGCAGGGAGGCGGGGGGCAGGCTGCAGACCCCGCAGCGGTTTCCCTGGTATCTCTTCCCGGGGAGGCTGGAGGGAGTTAGCTCCGGGGACCCAGGCGTCCGGGTGCCTGGCTTGGCAAGAGGAGCCGCAGGCTGCGCTCCCTCTGGGGAAGGAGAGCTGAGGCCACCCTCCCCTCCTCGTCCCCAGGAGGGTGGGAACAGGGCATGCCAGGGGGACCTGTGGCTTTTCCCGTTTCCCTTGGGCTGCGGCCGCAAGTTTAGAAGACCCTTCCCTGGGGGTCAGTAAGCGCAAGGTAACCACCTCCCTTCTTCATCTTTCCCACCGCCGTCCCTGCTCCATCCTGGTGGCAGACGGCTGGGGAACAGCTTACCCAGTCCTGCAGATGGGACATCCAGTGACAGTGTCGCCCGCCGGGCAGGTGCGTGGTACCCCGAAAGCCCGAGCATTTGCTGTTGGCTCCGTGCTTGCTCCGGGCATCTCCGCAGGCTCAGAAAAAGCGTTTTCGAGTTGAAACAGCAGTTTTGTTTGCAGAGATAAAGTGTTAACAGTCCCCTAACCTACAGGGCAGAGGTCAGGACCAGGGGAAGAAGCTCACTTCTTGGTTGGGCAAGATTTTAATTAGCAGCAGAGCTATCCAAAATGGGAAGGATCATTTTGCTGCCAGATGATTCAAGTCCAGGTTTTCAAAGGCAAGTTTCTGCACCTGGGCTTTACAAACTGAGCATACATAAAAGGCAGCGTGCTCTCTGCAGGAGCAGCAGCCTGTCCTCTGTGCTTTTTGTGTTGCTGTGACTGATAATTCTTTTCACTTTTCTCTGGGGAAACCTCCCTTTTTGCTCTGTAGAGGAGAATCCCTTTACATGGCAGCTCTCTTTTCTGTCCTTACAGACCTCCTCAGGACATGCTTTGTTCTCCCTTTTTCCCTGCTTTTTAAAAAAAATGCACTTTAAAATTCCATGAGTAGTTTCAGATGTTTAAAAATACTATTGAGACTGTATTCACCTATTTAGATTGTAGTCACTTATTTGGAGTTAGGCAGCCCCACATTTAGTCACCTGGACAACCTTAATCCTGCTGCTTCTCCCCCCGCGTCATCCTGCAACTCTCACTAGGGGATGAGACGCTCTCCCTCCCTCCAGCCGACACACCGAGGGAGGCTGGGGCACAAAACTCATCACACAGAGAGGCTGAACGAAGTCTGTGCTGCAGCTGTGCACCTTCCCACTGCCAGAGCACCTGAGCTCAGCAGCAGTCGCAGGGCACACTACAAATGTGTGTGCGTATATCGATTATCTCCATGTAAGGAGCACTATCCATCATACAACGCTTTTTGAGGCTTGGAAAATGCTTTGTTGCTGTCAGATAAAAGGCACTATTACAGTTATCGGTCACAATAAAAATTATAATCAGCACTGTTGTCCTCTGGCAAGAGCACAACCTATTTATTACAGTTGCAGCGTCATGGTTATTTATTCTGTGCCATTAGCAGAGCTGCAACACGTTATTCCTCTCCGAAGCTTGCCCTGTGGTCTCACTGTAGTTGTCATCTGTCTTGACCCTTCTCCAGTCTGAATAAATACCCTATTCCTGCATATCATTCATTGTGGCCACGGTGCAGTTATTTTCAATAGAAAGAAATTTGACGTCCCTGGCAGCCTCCTGCCCTGCACCGTCCGTGACGGAGACTGCTGGGAAACATCCAGACGTGAGCAGCTCCGTGGCCAGAAACGGGTCTCTGCTGTTACGGTGGCACGGAGAGTTAATTGTGAAGCAGCAATAGCAGAAGATAGATGAGTAATGACAAGATTTAATCTTGCCTGTGTTGGTGGGAAGGAGGGGGAGTGTGGGCACGCATATCTGCTCACGCTGTTCAAGGCTTTACATCCCCCCGTTGCTCCAGGGTGACTCCAACACAAACAGGCTCCCAGCAGTTAGTCAGACTGTTGCTGTGTTTAACAATCCTGGGGATGGAGGTGGGGGGGTCCTTCAGGTTCAGACTGCAGCAGGGACAACCAAGGCCTCAGAAATAAAATCACTGGTGCCTGCTTTTCATTAGTTAATTAAAATCATCAGTACTTATTTCAAGTCAGAGTTATTCTTCCCCACAGAGCTCTCACTCTTTTCCTACCCCCCTCCCCATTTTCCCTCTTCTTTCCAGCAGATTTAGGATGCTTGTCACCTACTAAAGTGATGAGCTGTGGGAGCTGGCTTGAGTCCTGTGCTTGACCCACTAGACCGTGTTTTCCCTTTCCTCACCTTTCCTTTGCGAGTGGAGGCCCTGGACGTGGCACTGAGCAGCGTCACGTGGCCGTGCAGCTCAGCAGGCTGAGCCGGAGCCTGACGCCTCACAGCGCCTGTTACAAATTCTGCAAAAAAGACCTTGGCTGTCAGTTGCGAGCAGTCGGCTGAGCAGTACTGACAGAGACGGACAAAAAGTTGTGCACGTTTCCTAGCTGGGAGATCTCTGCAGCATATTCCTGGCATGTCTTCTACTGCAAAATGTGGGGAAGGGAGAGGTGCAGTCTTGGTGGCAATGCATGCTGGAGAGGAGGAGGAGAAGTCACAAAACCCTGAGTAAATATCATGAGGGGGTATTTCAGCTCAGCTGGTTCCTCAAACAAGTTCCAGGAACCGCCTGTCTGGGATCAGGAAGCAAAAATAAAACGAGCTCCTGCAGAGACTGGAGAAACACTTTGTATGGGTTCAAACCTAGAATAATTTACAGGATCGTTGTGGATAATTATTTCCCTTGACACTTTGCTTTGTGTCACTGACAAGTCAACAATTATTAGCACACCAGTAATAACAACATTATTTTGTCTGGCTAAACCAACTCACTTCTTGCCTCAGTCCCAGAAGAGGTATCTAATTTGCATATAGACATGCAAGTGCATATATGAGGGCGGGTGTCTATGTGCAACGCGCACAGCTGTGTAATATTTCCTACACATTCTCAATATGTTAAGGCTTTCTGTAAAGACTGACTAACACTTCCCATCATAAATTCTCTTTTCAGTAGCTTATAACTTTCAGGACACGACTGGGCCATCCTGGCAGCTCTGGCAAGGGCTGCCTCTGAAACAGGATGCATACGCGGACCCCTGCGCAAGGTTGGCAGGTGCTCATGGAAGTTCAAACCCAGCTTCATGGCTTTCCCTCACCCCTAATAAAACTCATTTCTTTAACACAGCATCCCTAGGCAGTTCATTTAGCCCTACCAACAGAAAAAAACCTTTGAGGCTTAGCATATTTAATAAACAAAGCTGTGAGAAATCGATCTTGCCCAAATTTGTGACAAACATTTGTATTCTCTGGTGCTTCATAACCCACAAATATTAAACCCATAAAACTTCTGCAGTTAGAGCTGGGGCACGAAGGCTGCCTCTGAACCCCGAGCTTGCTGCTGGTGAAAGGAGAGAAGATGAATCACAAAAATGGCACAAATGGGTTTTTTTTGAGTGGATTACAGAATTTGGGGAGAACTGCCAAATTTTGAACTGCTGAGCAACTGTGGGGAAGTTATTCCCACCTCTGTACCCCTCGTTCTCAGCAAGAAATACAGAAAAGGTGCTCGTCTGCTCCGCAGAGCAGCTTGAGCACTGCTGCTGGCAAGTGCTGTTAAAAAGAGGGGCATGAGTCAGTCTATTAAAATCAGTAGTTATTGCTCGCTCGGAAAGACAAAGGAGGGGGAAGGTCTACCAAAATCACCTTGACTTGTTTCAGAGGCGCTGCCTAGAAGCAGATAGCTTCGGGTACTTGTGGGTCAATGTCCTACCAGATCAAACCCAAGCAAAGTCATAGCAGTCAAAAATTACAAAGATGCAAAATCAACATGGGCTCTAAGAGGAGACTGTGGCTGGGTTAACCAAAGCTGAGCCTTTGCCAGCTGCAGCAAGGCAAGAAGCATCGCTGAAGGCGCAAAACGGTGTGTCCGCAGATTTTGTCCTTTGGGCACTGGCTGCATCACATCCTTCCCAAATTGCCTGCTCCAGTGCTCATCCCGCAGACAGCACATGGGGTAAAACGCACCTGCAGTTCGGGCCAGAAATGGTCTGTTCCTGAAAACAGTGATCAGTGTGGACGAGCTGCCGGGGGCCGTCCTGCAGGAGTAAGAGCAGAGATAATGCTGCGGGGAGACAAAAGCACTATGTACAATATTAGGAAAGAAGAAAACCATGGCAGAATATTTGACTGTAATTTTGAGTTACTTCAGGTTCTGTGACATCTAAATGTCCACCCAGTAATGCTGTAACAACCAGCACTCGGCCATCACGATACACAGCGGATTAACCCAGCCGTGGAGCGGGGTGCAGCCACCTTTGTATCTGTGCTCTCCCTCCTCTTAGACCTGGAGCGTAAAGCAAGGCTCTGCCGCACCCGCGCACCCACCCGCATCCAAACGTGGAGCTGGCGTCCACTGAGGGTATCAGCTGTCCGCCGTGAGTGAACGCCCCAGGGCGCAGCAGGGCTTCGACTTTGCTTTGCAGATATCTGCCCTGGGCTAAACACCAGAGCTGTGGGGCAGCAAGGGGCTCTCCTGCCTCCTCCGCCACCACCAGAGGTGAGGAGAAGGTGTCCAGCTCCGCACCGGGTTGGGACCTTCCAGCACAAGAGCTCCCATGTTGTAGCTTAGCATGTGGGTCCCTGTCACAACGTGCCTTAGGAGACACGAGGCAGCCAGGTGCAGGGGGTCACGCTGTGGTCTGTGAGCCACACCAAGCCAGGGAAAATGTCTGGACAACAACA